CGACACGGACGCGAAGTAGAAGCCGAAACGCACGTCTTACCTTGTTGTCGAGGATTTGCAGACCCATGTCCCTATGAGAACAACCCTGGCCGACGATTAAACGGATTGTGACACTCTTTGTTTACGCAAAGCGCTGCCTGTTTACAGTGAGACCTGTTGGCTTCAGCGGCAGCATTGTCAGATAAGCCCCGATCTACCACGCGGTGCATCCCGCACCCCTCACCGCGTCGGGCCTTGCCATAAATAATGTGTACCTTATGTCGACGGCGACCCCTACACTACACCTCTACAGGAAGTATTGCTTAATGGAGCTGGACTTTCACACGAAAACGGTCGCCCTGTCTCGTCAGGATGTCAGGAATCAAGTAGGCAGTTCTGGTAGCTTCTGGAATGTTAGATATGCGTGCCGACAAGTGTTGTCTAGTGACAGATTTGGTTGTAGAAAAAGTCGTAAAGGAAAGTCGTTATGTTTTTATTTCTTTGATGCTATACGGTCTACAAAATAAAAGTATCTTCCTTGCTTTAGGTAAAAAAAAACATTAGAAAATCTTTGATACAAAGACCTACATATATCGACTTGAATACGAGTATCAGCAAGCGTAAAGGACATGAATGAGTCCATGAATATACAACGTAACTTTGAAAAGTTTGCCTATACTACACAACTACATAACTCTAGAATAATGACTGTTATCTGTAACACCTAACAACATACCTCGCATATCTGGAAGGACTCGGCATCCCCGGGCATTGAGGCGTATCTTGGCAAATACTCCTTCTTTAGAAGAGGTTCATTGTCTCAATATCCGGTCAGTCTGTCGTCAGGTGGTCACCGTTATACGATACTGTTCCCTCCTTGGAACATGTTAATCTGGTTAGCAGAGAGGGATCTGACCCACAAGCACCTAGGTGAACCCTATTCACAACTGCTGGCCCCTGTGTCACCAGAACTATTGCAATCACACACATCTAAACGCCTGGGGGCTCACGAAGCTAGCACGGGGACAGGTATTTTTCGGAAATTAGCCGGGACAACAAGTGGAATGATTCACAGATAATACTTCTTTAAATAGAAAAGCTGTGTGTTCTGTACACAATCGCCTCAGTGAATATCATGATTATCAAAATTTCCATCACCGAAGATTGTCCATTCTTGTCAAGTTGACTCGCTCACTCATATGATTACATGTCAGCGCATACATGACATATCTCTACATTTGATCGGAAATTGATCCAACATTGTTTGCGTACCTCAAACAGGTTGTATTGAATAAGAGATTGATATCATTTTGATAAGACACGTGCAAATGGCATGCAGCTTTAGTTAGTATACGTAAAGCTCCGGTGTCTAGTCAACCATGAGCACCTTGCACTGATAAAGTTGAGTACGTGTGTGGTTAGCCTCCTGTGCAGGCCTCCGGGCGGTGGGAGTTTTGATACTGCGTTTCGTAGAATGTTTTTGTACCCGCCACGAAGCCTGCTTCGGAGTGCTTCCAATCGGCACGAAAGAAAGCGTAACTAAAAATCACTCTAGGGAAATTGGTATGGACGTCCGTGACGGGTACAAACCTTCTCTCTGCGGCCGGTTGTAGGATGACCGGCATCAAGACTTGACTTAAGTCGGGTGCCACTCCTCCTCTGCCACCCGAACCACAATGGCTGCCCAGTAGTCTCTATCCTCCATCGCCTTCCCCATGTCTTCGGCCCGTAGGCCAACGTCCCTTCGTAGCACGTCTGGGTAAGTGAGGGGTGGTCTTCCCGGCCTCCTTCCCCCGTGTGCTGGGGCATCAAGAACGCGTTAGAAATTCTACGAAACGCAGTATCAAAACTCCCACCCGCCCGGAGGCCTGCACAGGAGGCTAACCCCACACGTACTCATCTTTATGAGTGCAAGGTGCTCATGGTTGACTTGTCACGGGAGCTTTACGTATACTAACTAAAGCTGAATACCATTTGCACGTGTCTTATCAAAATGATATCAATCTCTTATTCAATACAACCTGTTTGAGGTACGCAAACAATGTTGGATCAGTTTTCGATCAAATGTAGAGATATGTCATGTATGCACTGAAATGTAATCATATGAGTGAGCGAGTCAACTTGACAAGAATGGCTGATCTTTAGATGGCCTTAGATGGTCAATAGATGGCTTTAAACAAAGGCTAGAGCTAGAAGTTCAAGGGTTAGGTGTAAGGCCATGTTGATTTGATTATATGGATGACATCCACGCGCGCATGAATTTTCGGCCGTTTCCAAAAAAAAAAGCTTTCAACCATACTGTAAATCGTACAAAACAGTTGCAAAATGAGCAAAAATATACCATAAGTTACAAAAAAATTAATAAAAACTATACCAATGTCGTAGAATGCCAAAATCAAACAAAAAAGACGAAATTGTAAAGAAATGAACTTGAAGACTAGATTATTCGCCAAACCATATTCTGTGCCATTTGCTCAACCCTCATGACCACGTAGATTTCATAATGAAAAGAACTTTTTTTTTTGCAAAACTTTTTTTTTTATTCGCACGCGCGCATCAGTTTTGGGGCCCCCGGAGGATGTCATCCATATAATCAAATCAACATGGCCTAACAAGTCGATCGGTGTAATATAGCCCGCTGCCGCCGCGCCGCGTGCCTGCGAAGCTGATGTGTTACGCCAAAAGGCAGTTATACCGGCTATACAGATACAGATACAGATCTTAGGTGTGCGGTTCTGTGGGGGGATGGACAGCAGCTTGGATGTTGATCTCTTCAAACGTGAGCCTGAATGCAAATACATTCTGGCGACGCGCCAGCAAACTTTACAAACAAAATCTTTAGTAAGAGACCTTCAACTGTTCAGGCACACACATGACCATCTGTACAAGGGGTCAACTACAACAGGTTAGGACGGGTACCGGTTGTCAGGTCCGTGAGTAGAAGTCATCAGTCGTTGGACAACACACGTAAGTACGCCCAGCGTGCTTCTGATTAGGATCTGCTGGGAATCCACGATTGTCGGACACCGAGCTGAAGGTCACTGAACAGTGCTAAGGCCATGTTGATCTGATTATATGGATGACATCAGCGCACGCATGAATATTCGTCCGTTTCCAAAAAACAATTAAGTTTTCGACCATACTGTAAACAGTACAAAATGAGCATATATATATGTTGTATTTTGCAAAACAAATATTGGAAAACGATACATGTCATAGAATGCCGAAACCAATTCAGGAAAAGAAGAAAATGTGAAGAAATTGATGAAAACGAAGAGTCAATTATTATTCGCAGTAGAGATCTACCATACTCCATATGTACCATGTTTAGTCATTTGTTCAACATTATTACCACGTAGATTTCATAATGAAGGAAATTTTTTTTGCCTTACTCTTTTTTATTCGCACGCTCGCGTCAGTTTTGAGGTTCCCAGAGGATGTCATCCATATACTAGTAATCAAATCAACATGGCCTAAAGATTTACACTGCAGCTATGCCGGAGGGGGATAGGGGTTGCCCCGGTCTACCCATACTGGGGCCGTGGGGTTAGGCTTGAATTAGGCTTGAATTCCTGTTTTGACGAGTTTGGCATTAGGCCTGGCGTCGGGTGGCGTAGTGGTTAGGGCGTTCGACCATGAAACGGCGAGACCCGGGTTCGATCCCGAGTTGTACCCGGGACATGTCTGGGCATGCGCCCCGACGTTGTGCCCTTGGGAAAGGCACTTTACACGACGTTCCTCACTCCACCCAGGTGTGAATACAATAGGTACCTAACTTCGATTGGGGACAGTCTTATTGAGGTCACCTGGTGGCGCCGAATGGCAGCCACACAGACACTTGCGACAGTTCCACAAAAGTGTGTGAAGAAAATATGTTATATCTATCATCTGTATTATGTGATTGTAAACCCTGCATCAATTCAGCGCTCATGATGAAAGGCTGCGATTGCACGGATAATCAATGACAAACAAACAAACCTTTTTTGTCTTATAAAATGGCTCTGGTTCTTGCAAGCGTTTCGAGACGAGAGAAGAAAAGAGAAGAAAACTATAGAGTGAGTGATAGCAAAATGGGATAGATAAATAAGATGTAGATCACAAGGGAAAGAGATTTTGTGACTTGGCAGTAGTTAGGAAGCCAGGCAACTGGATGTGGTGACGTAGTCATGTAGTTGCCACACAGCGGACTCCGCTGGACCTTTAACATTTTCCAAAGTGTCGTCTGATAATGACGTCATGAATACACTAACCTGGCATCTGTGCCAAGACACATCACGGTAAAGGTGACAACAGAGAGATCAGAGCACCCGGGGACAACACGCATCAAGTGTCAACCCGTCGCCAAGTTTCCTTCGTTCCGCCCTTGGCCTTGCTAGGGTTGGCGAATTCCACAACAGTGCTCAAGCCAGATGGGACACCTACTTCTAGATGTGTAGCTTTATAGGTTTGATTCCCGAATCGGACGACTTATAATGTAAGTATGTTTACCGAAGGAAAACATATTGTTTTTACTCAGTTTCTTCCTCCTCTTCTCTTCCAAACACTAACCTCTGACCTGACCAATGGCATGATTTGTTGACGTCTGCCACCATGGTGACTGATATTGGGTTACATAATGTTGCCATTTCATGGTCTGCTCTACTCCTGTCACCATATACTAGTAGTACATGTGTTTGAGCAAAAATTAACAGGGCAGACCATGTCCGAAGGTAAACATTATGCATTTGCTTTCCAAATGTTACTTCTCTAGTTATAGGAGCATCATGTAACATACATCTAACATGTAATGAGAACTAAACATTTTCACGTTTTCCAATCTATAGGTTTTGTTGCAAGTACAACACTTCTTTCAAATTTGTGCCTAGGAGCCAAAATATTCTGACTGTCCTCTTTTAGAGAAGCTCTTACGAGACGATATCGAAGCATCTACCTGAAAAGACCGAAACTTGAGAAAATGAATACAGAGACGTACGTACGGGAAAGTATGTTATATTTCCTCCATATATTGACAGTTGGCGTGGAGAGCTGTCATCATTTACTTCTAGTGTTTGTATCTATAGATACTGTCATTTTTTTAGTCATAACGCTTTTCATAAACATCATAAACATTCATAATTCAGAAACATCAACCGATTCCACTTCTAAAGCAACCTATGGTATTGAAAACAAACATTGTCATATTGGCCCGAAGAACACATCCTTAGGATACTCTACCCCAATCTGCAAGTTACCAATATTACATATATTCGCATTCTCAATATGTTAACATTTCTCTACCGGTCGCACATCTTATTTCTCTACCTAAAATATTCCTAAACTCAGTTATGGGTGGAGCTTTGGTTCTGTCATCTTCATTTTAAACTTTTCCTTTTTCCAGTAGTATCTGCTGCCTGACTGATATTTGTCTCTCCTGACAGTTACGTGGATTTCTTCTGGTTACATGCACAGTCCGACCCTGGCGCCGTCCCCGGACACACACATCAGCCCGTCCGTACACGGGCAGTGCCAGAAGCGGTGCTTCCCGTCCAGCGGGTACGGCAGCTCCTCCGCCTTGACGTGGCACGGCTCCCCCCTCTTCCCCATGGTCTTGCAGACGTACACGGCACCTAGCGGGCTCCAGCGGGAACAGCAGCTGTCCCTGGTCCCGCCAGCGATGCACTGAACGTCATTTTCGCAAACCTGGGAGGAACAGAGATATAATTGTTAATCACTCTATATTGGTCATACTTTATATTCGCGGTTTTCACGGTCACTTCTGTACCGCGAATTTATTTTATTTTATTTCATGAAGTTTCACAACATTTGTGGAAGGATTGACATAACAGGTGACTATCACCTCTTCAAGATGTCAAACCTGAGACCAGAATGTAAGGTTTGAACCACTCACACAGGGAAGGTCCCCTACTCTTTTCGATAAGTGCGGTGCACGTGGGTTCTTTAACGTGCTTGTGATGTTGCTCTCCCAAACACTGGTCCTCCATTTAACGTCCTATCCGAGGGACGTCCCTAACCAAAGCTAGGTACTCACTTACACCTGAGTGAAGTGAGGAAAGTCATGTAAAGTGCCTTTTCCAAGGGCACAAGATTGGTGGCATCGGGCAGGATTCGAACCCGGGACCTCTTGGATCTGATAATGATGAGCCGAACACTCTACTGTCACGCACACGACCCCACTTAACATGAGAACTGTGTCAACGAACCCATCTGCGCTGCAAACTTTTCATAATGAATCACATGGAAAATAGATGATGAGCCACTGGCTTCACTCTAACGACCCAACTGTGGCCCAATTAAATATTACGAAAGTCCTAAAGGAGGACAGGTCATCGAAAATTTAATCCTGTTTTTTGACAGATGAGGGAGTATCTGGAGATTGGAGGAGACAGGCACAGGTGGTAGTCCTGTATGAGATGGAGAGAAAATCTAGTTCAACACCTGGGTCCTACATGGCCAAGGACTGTGAGTCTAAAAAGACTGGAGTCACGGTCAGTTAAGAGAGGGGTTACTCCGTAGGAGTAGGAGTGACAATACCCTGGAATGATCTTCTTTCATTTTAAGGTAGCCGCATTCAACTAGCTGAAGCTTCTGCTGCCCTTTCGTAGCTAATACGAGATGTGGTTCGCCAGGCCTTCATCCAGGAAAGCCGTGTGCCTTCCCAAGATCGATGACATGGCAGGGTTCGAACCCGGGACCCCTTGGTTCCGAGCCGAACGCTCTGTCGTTACGCCACATGATGACAGTGACATATGGCAGCATGGCATATGCACTGTCTGATGGTTTTATTTGCTGATCAATTTTATCATGAATCAACAGTTAATGACCACTGTCTCCAACTCTTCGTACAGATTTTTGTGAGTCACAGTGTGGCTTTTGCTAATAATTCACGTCAGCATAAACTCACAGAATACTGAAAAGAGCCGAACTAAGTTTTTTTAAAAGGTCAGATATAGGTTGGGTTTTTTTTTTCAGAAAGCTAAGAAAAGTTCAAAGTTCAGAATTTTGTTTGACATTTGGGACTTATTTAAAGTCTTAACATGCTCGTTGGCGACACATTAAGGTACGTAATGGTAAGGCTCCATCTACGTTTGATGACACTTTAGAGACAGCGATGTCGTTATCTTAATGTACAAGACAGCAGGTATGACGTCTCAAAGAATGAAACATATTTTCACCTCCTTGGAACAGATTGTGGCAACTTTAAGAAGCTTGTCTCAGAGAAACGTCTATGAGAATGAAGGTGGTGTGTTTGTTAATCTGTAGCTATTTTATCAACAGTCCATACCAAACCTTACCGGCGTAGCAGCATGCTATGACGATTCTGTTATTAGTTCAAATAGAGCAGGGTCCCAGCGGGACGTAATGGCAAATTTAGCGGGGGACAAAAATTGCATGAAATTAAGAGCGGAACGCCGCGTTGAAGATTGGGCACTCCTCTTGTGTGGGTGATGGCACGGTGTTAGGTGCAGAGACGGTCCCGCTGATACGAAGAGGGCGGCGGGAGAACATGAAGCAATTTTACGCTGAGCTGAACCTGAGTCGGCATCTTTCACGCCCTTGCCAGCTGACTTTTAGACAAGAAAAATTCGCAACAACAAAAAGGCTTTCAAAAGAAAAGGCAGAAAACTGCCGAGAAAACCTGTTGAACTCAATGTGCCATTTGCAGACCCGAACGCACCCAAAGAAACAAAGACTTCAACCGACATAACTTTCAGATCTTTTAAGTTTGGTAAAGGTTATAGGTTAGTAACACGCGCTGACCGTCTCTGTATTTAAAGATTCTCTTCCATTGTATACAAGATAATTTCCCTAGTTCTAGAATTTTAAATAGAAAAGAAAAAATTCACATTCCTTATGAAACCCGTACTGTAAGCTCCATCTGTTCTTACATTTACAACTGTAAAGAGAAGAAGCAGAACCTGTACATATATATATATATATATGTAGTACAATGTACAATGATGGTCTTTCGTTCATTTAAAACAACTCACTGCTTTGAATGATTCGTATAACCCACGTAAAAGCTACCTTTGTTAACGCGTTGCTACCGTTGTTGTTGAATATTGTTCAGTTACCAATTTGAAAGCTAGCACATTACAACAGCCTCTGGTTATATATAATTTTATACAGCCTAATAAGCCATATCAATCATATCTTCATGTTATAACCCTAAAACTAAATTTCGGTTGACATCAAATTGCTTCAGCACTAATAGAAGTTGTGAAGAGAGAACACAATATTTGACAAAACAACTCAAAATAGGCAAAAAATCCTAATCAGTACTTAAAACTATTCAGAGCGCAAGTTTATACTTTAACATTTTATTTACATTTTTAGTGCCATTTCTAATGCGACAAGGTAAAAGAATTGCTTTACATTATTTGTTTGAGAAACACATCCTGTCAAAATCCGGTGAATTCGAACCAAGTCTATAGCGACACATCGCACTTCGTACATTTGTCTTTCACATGTACACAGCTACGAACACACCCATTTGGGAAACTGCTATTAAAACGATCGCGATTCCATACTCATTTAACCACCTGTTAACGAATATGTCGTTTCAAAACCTTCCGAATCCCAATCTCCTTATGATCAAGTTGAAAGAAACAACTCGGTGGAACTATGATAAAAATGAATTCAAAGAAATCTATAAGCCTTTCTGTTCAAATTCAAAACACAAAGAACACTACTAGTATACAGAATACACAAAGTACCTATGCTTGTTCTTTCTCTACAGTAAACGTGTACAGGGTGGAAAGAAATATTCAATATCCCACAAAAGTACAAATGTTTGAGGTACATATTCCTTAACTATGAGTAACAGCAAATCTATTCTTTTATCACGTTCTATTATTCGTGAAAGTCCGTACTTACCCCAGTGATGACAGCTCCAGATACTAAGGTTAAGCTTGCCGCCAGGATCACAGCAAAGTAAAGTTGTCTTTGCCTCATCATGACCAGTCGTCTGAGGGTTTTCATCAGAAGCCTCTAGGTGTAGCAGTGTCGATCTCGACTCTCTCTTAATGACACTCAGCTCTGTCCCTCGTATATAAAGCTCATATATAAATGGAGCATCATTGATTTGTGACATCTTCGCGGGAATATGAATGACACGCCCACGTCATATTCGAGAAAAGACGTGTCCCAACCAGATGCTGACTCAAAGGACACATTCTAAAGAACGCGGAAACTTCAGACACTGGCCGGCCTGTGAGTTCACTGACGTTGGAATCACCGGGATACCTATTATGTTATGATCAAAAGAAGCCAGTGTTACGTGTTTTTGTTAAACTTATGGCCATGTTGATTTGATTGTATGGATGACATCCGCGCGCGCATGAATTTTCGGCTGCTTCAAAAAAAAAGTATTCAATCATAGTGTAAATCGTACAAAAAAAGTTGCAAAATGAGCAAATATGTACCGCAATTTGAAAAAAAAACAAATATTGGAAAACGATACCAATGTCGTAGAATGCCAAAATCAAACGAAAAATACGCAAATGTAAATATTTGCATTTGAAGAGTAGATTAGTCGCCATACCATACTCTGTGTCATTTGTTCAACCTTCATGAACACGTCGTAGATTTCATAATGAAGGCAACTTTTTTTGCCAAACCTTTTTTATTCGCATGCTCGCATCAGTTTCGGGGTTTCCAGTGGATGTCATCCATATAATCAAATCAACATGGCCTAATGGATATGGGCATTAACAATAGGCACACAACATAAGCAGCTGCTTTTACATTCTGTGTTATAGCTTCAATCATTTGAGCTAAGAAACGATAACCGAAAACATCCCACGTTATCTGACATTTATGACTCGTGTGTTACACCAGACACGCATTACCATAGCAGCTGACTCTAGATTTTGTTCCGCCGACGCAAATTGTATTTAATAAATTAACGTGAATGTTTCAGTCATAATTATTTCAAGGTGAAAACCTAAGAACACCCACAATGCCCGACGCGTGCACTTAACTACCATTAGCTTTTTCACTTATTTTTAGCACATTTGAAATTCGAATGAGCACAATTCTAATAGAACCTATATGCTTAATAAGTCACATAAATATCATTTTTGTTGGCTTAATTTTCTTTCTCGGTCGATATCAGGAGAGTAATTAAAGTTATCCTATGAAAAGGGCCAACAATGTCTTTATCGCAAAGGTGAACGGATTACTAGCAAACCATAGTTACAACATTGAAAGCAGCCAATAGAGCCCTTAACCTTTCTTCCTTAACAAAAATTCATTTAACCATTTCCCTTCCAACGAATTACGAGCTAATGTTGTGAATTGCGGCAAATCATCATTCTGCTAAAAGCTTCCCGATGGCTAAAAAAGCCGCGTAATTTTTCTGGAAAAAAAATCATTCTCCCTGGTTGGCCTACTGTTTCGCAACACTGGGGGGATCATGTGAAAAGGCCGACATTTGCTGGGGAGCAAATACAGCATATTTCAGTCCATTTAACCCCTTTCCATTCCAAAATAGACTGTTCTATATCAACCTTTTCCATCCAGTATCAAGTTTTTCAGTACCCTTAGTTCTCAAAACTCCTGTAAAGTGCTTTTCAATATTCTCAAAAACTGCACCAATATAGAGATTTTAAGAAAAAGTGTTCTTCAGGTCATTTTGGTTTTAAGATTCTAAGGGGGCCGGAGCCAAAATGTACATTTTTGTCTTAAAATATGAAAAAAGTCCCATTTTTTCACAATTTTAGGCAGTGTATGCCAAACATGTGAAGATCATTCTGTGGACATGTGCACATGTCCAAGGCTCCCCCATTCCAAATTTTAGGTAATTTGGTTTTCGTATAAGGACACAAGTCAAAAATGTACATTTTTGGTCAAGAAATAGCAAAAAAGTCCAATTTTACATGCCAAAAACGTGAATATTGTTCTGTGGGCATGTGTCCAACGATCTGCGATTCTGCGGAGGTCACTGACCTCCATCACGGAGTAAAAACAATTTGCCTATTTCAACCTGCCCACGAGTAATTAAGGCTTAAATAAATGAGCCGCTTTTTCTGTCCCCCCACATTCTCCTGACCGTCACGCCCTTAAGAGCACACCCAAGGCGATAACCCATCTCTGTACTTACGTGAGTCATCAGTGGGCGTTTAAGTGTGACATATGCATAATGAAGGTGGTTTTCCTGTCTGTAGCGACCGCCGCCTGCCTGGTGCTGCTGTGTTCTCACCACGCCGTGGGAGGGAACGTGTGGGACCTGCTAGACCGGGTGGACAAGCGGTCGGTAAGTGGTGAGAAAGACTTCGTAGAAAGAAAGAAGACTTATAGCTTTTACTTGCGAGGACTTAAGATACTCAGCAGCTAAATTAATCATATGTTTCTGGTTCTGAATCAGCTCAAAAATGCTTTTATTTTGCCCCCAACCGTTGAGGAAAGTCCTTTTCTTCCTAGTTGTTACAGTTTTTTCATCTATCAATGCAGTGGTTTGATTAAAAGTTCAAAACTCATTGTTTAAAATATCAACCCAGCCCTTTGTGGTGACTTCATGGCTCCTATCGTTGCATTTGGGGCTATAATAGGATGCCTAGACCTGTTTTACTTTTTTTCGCCGTCGCTTTATATTTTTCATGAAAGAATCCGAGAACCAACAAATTAAATTGGTGTGGCCTAAAGACTTAATCTCTATCCACAGTGCCGAGGGAAGATTGCCCAGGGCCAGTTCTGTAAGCCCGGTGACCAGAAGAACGTGTGCTGTGGGTACATGGGGTGTTACAACGTCAGGGGACACGGCTGTAACCCAGACAAGGAAGTCTGCATCTGTCGTCCCAAGAACCGCTATCCCTTCTAGTGTCCCTGGCTGCTGAGATGGGATCAACAACCCTCTTCAACTATCCAAATCCTAGAACTGCTTCATCACTAGTCCTGTATTATTTTAAAGGATGCTACATTTTCATGAATGCGAATGTGAAGCAACAGACAACTGAGGCACAATAACTTACTCCAGATTGAAAGTGCTGTAATGAAGTTCTTAATAAATGGTGAAGCAGAAATAAAAGTGATGTTCGTGTATGTGTCTTAATGATTCTAGAATTTTCAACTACTTTCCTCACTGTATGTTTACAAAGGGTACTACATTAAGCAACTTTTATCAGCTTTTCTATTAAACAAGGCATTTTAGCAAGGGACCACAATCTATTAGGAAGGGGTGATAATGTTAATACAACTTGAGGCCCTTTCTTCATCAGTTGAGATTTCTTTTCAGTCGTTTCATTTTTAAACACATGGACAACAAAAATGTACAATAAGTAAACAGAATATGTGAGAGACGCAAAATAACAAAACATGTCAAAAACTAGCCCGGAAACACTGGGCACAGCTTCCACATACTATTGCATTGTAGGTGGCCACAACTCAAAGATAGGACTATTACTTAAAAGTTATAGCCTTCTTACCAAACCTATTTGCAGAGAGGACAGAAGAGATTTGGTAGCTAAAATAGGTTTGGTAACCAAGCACTACTACGATTTTCCCTAACATATCTCAATGAGCCCCTCAGCCCACAGGTAAGTTGCCACCTGTAGGTTATCCTCAGGCTTCAGTCCCAGTCCTTTCACCTGGACTCTGTCTTCTCTCCCCATCTTCAATAACTTCTGTAAGACTGACAGGAAAGTGGCAGGGAACTTCAGACCTTGTGGCTGAAAAAAAAGGACAAAGTGAAAATGATTACTCTAGAATGTTAGTCCATTATGATTCTAAGTCCCTTAATAAGGCCCTTTCCACTCCATGCAGAGATTAGGGGTGGTGCCTATTTCTATTTCTGTAGCACTTGGGCTGCACAGTTCACAAGGCTAGTCCACTAGTTATATTGTGTGTAACTTGTGTTTGCCCTTCCCATACCCTTTTTCATATATAGATGCTGACTGCCAAGCAGAGAAAGCAGTATGTACCATTTCTAAAGTCTAGATCTTTGGTTTGACCAGGCAGGGGTTTGAACTCAAGACCTCCTAGTTAGAAAGACAGCATTCTTCCCAACTGAGCTATTGTTTGTAATCATCTATACACTCCCTTAGATGGAACATAAATATGTTATGTGTAAAGCTGGTGCTGACCTGACCACGGCTTGTGCCCATCATGTGTTCCTCTCTCCTGTTGTGCAGACAGTGGTACAGGTACACCCACTCCTGGTCACTCAAGGTGGACTTCTCACTTCCTCCATCCTTCTCATCATCATCAGCAGTGATGCTGTCATCTTCCTCTTCATCTTTCTCTTCATCTTCCTCATCATCATGGTCATCATCATCACCATCTTCATCATCATCCTCATGGTCACCATCATCATTATCATCATCATCATCATCGTAGTCATCGTCCTCTTCATCATCATCATCTGTCTCATCTTAGAAAGAGAAAAGCATGAACTTTCAGTTTCTATCAGCACCATTGAATATGCTCCGTACACATACCTTGAAAATAACTATCTATGCTCTAAGACTCTTGTGGTGTTACAGCCCATGCAATTCAGCTAAAATTGTAATACAGGCCCAACAGCATAACGAGTGTCATCGGTGGTAAATGATGATGTTTAGTACCTTGGGTTTCTGCTGCTTGTGAACACAGTGCCATGTAGCCAGGAAACCTCATCTTTATGAAGCTGTTCAGGCTGGGAGGGGAACCTGTGGTAAAGATATGTACATATGGGAAGGTTACACATGAATGGGTTATTCATGTAGGTACAGGCAACAGAGAACTTGTTTCTAGCTGGAACTCCCAGACTTTTAACAATTAATTTTACTAGAAAACTGACATGCACCTGCAGTTACAATATGGAATCAAGACTTCAACATCAAATACAAAAGTAATAAAAGTTGAATTCACAAAAGTTTATGAATAAGGAGGCACCAATTTTAGTAGTGCTGGATATGAGCTAAAAACACAGCACATATACTTTATCTACATTCAATGAATTATTAAAAATGTAACTTGAAACATTAACGGGGAAAAACCTTTAGGAGAAGCAAGAGGCTGAGATGTGTCCTTGTAGTACGGAGGCAGCCTGTTACTCATGAAGTCCTGCAGTAACTCTGGAGCCAGCAAGGGGGCACTGCTACTGCCTACCTGATCAGCCAAGCTGAATAGCAGCTTCTTCAGATGTGACCTCATGTCCTCATGGTCCTGGAGAGGGTGGGTAGGGAACTTTAACTTTAACAGACTAGTATAGTGCGCCAAAGAAAATTTGCATACATTACAATGTGCATATCATGGACTGCAAAGCTTAACAGTAGTATCATAGCAAGCTTTCTTGCTCTCTGATCAAGGCACATCCACTTTGGGCATTTCTATGTACAAAAAACACAAAAAATTCCTGTAAATCAATATTGAATATGAGGAGCAACCTTAAGCTTCATGTGGTGCACATAGATTTTTCCTGTTGGGAGCACCAGTGTTCCTAATTACTAGTCGAAAAGTTTAAGTCTGGAGCCCTGAAAATAGAAGTTTTTCTAGGTACAGAACTAGGTTTTTCTATAAACATTTTGGCAGCTGCTCTGATGCCTTCATGAGGGCGATGTGCTTTCTCCTACACATGTATGTCTTTGTCGTCTTGTGATGTAATTATCATGACAAGTATGTGTTCTTGAACTCGATTAAGCAGCAAGGAGCATTGACAGAACTACATGTTAATGTACCTGTCCCATAGGAACCCCCACAGTACTGAGTGCTCCGACTGGCAGGCCCCTCCTGAACCCCACATCCCTGTCCATCACAGACTGTACCAGCATGGGCAAGGTAGACGTCAGCAGGTCACCATACGAGCTGGAAACACCAGAAAAACATGCATGAGCAAGTTAACGGAACGTACTGTGCTTTCGCAAAACCTGTGATGTCTTGTGTATATAGCACTTACACAAATCGTCTTCTTTAGGGCGTATTCACATATCTAAGGATGATATCCCATCTAATAGTATATATTTTGAATAATGTGGTGGAAAACAGCAAAATTTTGAAGCAACCACATCTAAGAAAAACCATGAAAAATCTGGGTTGCAAACATACTAGTACATACATTTTTGTAGAACTTGTGTGTTCCCTAGAACTGCGTAATTCAGCCTTTTTTACATTATTAGGCTGCAATGTTGTTTTAGTTTTGTGTCAATTTGCAAATAACCATTTATACACATACGTGTATCTCTTGTCAAAATATCATGACTGCTACTCAGTGTCATCATTATATGCAGTTAGTTGTAACAAAATTCACTTCAAATCTAAATGAAAACATTCAACATGAGAAAACACTAATGATTCTGTAGGTATCAACATAATTTTTATACAGATGTCTTCTTTACAAGACAAATTTGCATGTTCATGAAACAGAAGAAGCTTGCTCACTTCCTCTGGTATGTGCTGATGGTGACATGTGTGGAGTGTTGTGAGCCTGCTGGGGTGTCAGCCTGGTGAACTGTACCCCGGGGGAAGTACAACATATCTCCTGCCTAGGAGCAAAAATACAACTATTTAAACTTTTCTTAAGTTCTTAAGACACAGTTCAAATAAAGATTTTATACTTTGTATCTGAAAGTACAACTTGAAAGAGTGCCTGCTTGGGGGGTAGTGATTATGAATTACGCAGAATTTTCTCCGCTGATTACAAATTACGTTGAATTCTCAGAACTGCTTACGAACAACTACCGGTACGCTTACAGCATATGTACTGATTATGAATTACATTGATTTTGGGTGACTGCCTATGGATTACAAAGACTAAAATCAAAGTAAAAAGGCCTAATTATGCCTTATGAAACGGGCATGCATACTGATAATAGTCAGAAGAATGCTTTATACTTGAAAACTAGAATAACTGAGAAATTTTACCTCTAAGACAAAATCATGTGTTGGCTGGCCAATACTGCCCTGCTCCAGATCTCTACTGTAGTCCCTGGGAAGATCAACAGGGGGCGTGTATAAACGCCAGTGTTTCCTTCCCTCCAGCTGCAGAATGAACACCTGTGGAAATGACATGTCAACGATTTTGTGTGCCTGCTTTATTTTATCACATTCACCTACAAGGTTATGTTTTTAATAGATTTGGTTAACCAGAGCTCAAAATACCACCTGTATATGCAGGTTAGTGCAAGTAAAATTGGAGTTGTGCAGGTATTTCTGATGTCTACCTGCACCTAACCTGCACTGGTTGGGTGCACCAGTGCACCTATTCCCAAAAATGAATTTGAGCCCTGATTGCTAACTATATAAGATTGTGTTGTGGACTGATTAGAACCAAGCAACATCAACCACATACAGGTACATGTACTAATGACACTGGAAGGGTTAAAAGGTATCAATACTAGTAATGGTTTGTTAATGGTGACCACAGTCTGTAGTTACCTCCACATCATCATAGTGTGGTGCTAACCCTTGTGAGCCCGGGGGTGTCATGTACACATTAGCTCCCACCAGGCAGCCAAACAGACACTCCAACAGACTGCACAACTGCCATAGTTTGTCCTGTCAAAGAAAAAACAATAGGTATCTACAGTCAGACCTTTAGACTTAGAGTTACCACCGTGACTATAATTTATAAGCCTAGCCTGGAATCCAGTCATGAGGTAATGAAGAGGAAGGTCTCCCGTGCTCTTATCTCCATTTCCTTAGCCCTTGGGCGACACACAGTTGCACTACAGCAGGGGGCTAGTCCGCTGGTAGTGCTGTGTGTTTGACCTTCCCACACTCTTTCTCATATGTGCTGAGTGCTAAGCAGAGACAGAAAAGTGTACCATTTTTAAAGTCTTTGGTATGACCCAGCTAGGGTTTGAACTCACGACCTCCCGGTTACAAAGCGAGCACTCTACCAATTGAGCTATTGCACCAGTACATGAGGTAATGACTACTTAGTATTGGAAGCAGTCTTCAGCGAACAAGACAGCAGCTTCAGGTTAACCATAGGCTGGAGTAACATTAAGCATCTACAGCATGGAAAAATGCTCTCACAACTTTTCTATGTTAGATAGCACAGATAGAACAACTGTTGTAAACTGTATAGTGATGACTTTTGTCCCTTGTTGTAGAATATACTGATATGTAGTAGGAACAAGTAATTATTTTATCATGTTAATGCCAAATACAGTTACCTGAAACCTCTGTGGCTGGTGAAACTGTAGGGTGGCCCTAGACTGGTCAAACAATTTATCAATCTGTGTGGAACCAAATATGACCAACAAGTAATATCAACACAGCAAAACAACAATTATTCACAATGTCCTGTATCAATGAACAAGATAGAGGGGTCATAGAAAAAGTCATGTTACATCTAGAAACATCACAACCTTTCTGTATTACATAATTGACACATACTTGAAAGAAAGTACTGCAGAATACATTGTAGTACAGATAGTGAACCACCACATCTTGCAAAGACATTTAGGAAAAAGATTGTCTATATTTCCTCACAGACTTAATACAACAGGTACTAGTACTCACCTGCTTAGAGGTGGCTCTTCCTGTTCCATTCAGTGACTCTCTCCTGCCATTGACATATCTGCACACATTCACATCCCTGATGTACTCAATCTCCTGTTTCTTCAACAGTCTCTTCAGTATGTCTCTAGAGAATAGTGCCTTATATTCCTCTGTCAATGCTGTGTCATTCCTTTTAGCAATCAATGGTTTCTTTTCCCAGTATTCATCAAAGAATCGCTCATATGACACTGGTGAAATGATGCTTTCGAAAAGTTTTTGTGGTGAGCTTAGGTCAAATCTGGCAGTGATGCCACTATCTGAAACTATGCTTAGTCCACCTTTTTCAACTGTCTTCTTTGTTTTTAGACGTTTAGCCGAGGTTGGTTCCTCCTTGCTTTGAGACAAAGGCCTCTTTTCTTGGCTGGTGTTCTGTTTTGTGCGTTGTGCTGGGCCCATAAAGCTACTAGTAGATTTTTCTACAAGAGGTTTCCCTTTTTCTTTGAGATGTTTTGCTTTTTTCTTGGCTTTCTGGGGAGATTTGATTTTCACACTTGTCTCTGACGGGGAAGGTTGCTTCAACTTTGAAAGTTGCTTCTTTTTCTTGTTTTGGTTCACCATGTCTCTGTGGTTTTTGTCTCCACTTACAAAGATTTGGGTTGTTTCCTGTCCAAGTTTAGAGTCTTGTTCTGGGAAGCTCTTCAGTGAAGTATCTGTGGATGTCCCAAGAGCAACAGACTCATTCATCAGGTTCCAAAGTTTCTTTTTCTCACGGCTCTTTCTTCTGTTTTCCCTCCTTTTCTGTCTCTTCTTCTGGATGTGTGATGGTTTCATGCTCGCGAGGGTCACTCCATGTTTTACCTGAGGAACATAATGGAAGGAGACAGTGCAGTGGTCTTATAGCAACCCAGTATTTTTGATCAAACAATCCCAACAAGCACACCAACATATTCACAGAATCCCTGTACGTGAGAACGAGAGGGAACATGTCACAACTTAGGCTAACTTGCAAGTGCTGTAGGGCTTCTCTTGCTTGCAGTATTATTATACTGTATTATATTTCCAAATGGCGTAAAATACAATGTGCCATGGCTGTTGTATAGGCTATATACTACATGTAGACAGGCCTCAGTCTTAGTGTATGCTGACCAACCATATGTTTTGCCACCGCCCCCCTCCCCTCCCGAACTTTCTTCTTTACCTTCGCCAAGAAGGTTATGTTTTCAGTAGCGTTTGTCTGTGTGTGTGTGGGTGTGTGGGTGTGTTTGTGTGTGGTTTAGCAAGATAACTCAAGAAGCTGTGGATGGATTGGTATGAAACTTGGTAGGTGGGTAGGACTTCATGAGACCTAGAAATGATTAGATTTTGGGCCCCCTGGCGGCTTTCCTAGGTACTGCAGCTGAACTTCCGGTTTTGATATCTCATGTTCTGGACATACTAGGGTCACGAATTTTGGTTGGTAAATAGCTCTTGGGGTAGGGAAGAAGTGACATGAGTTTGGGTCCCCTAGCGCCTTGTTCTGGAACTGCAGGAGCATTTGTTGAAAAAAAATTTGAAGGATGGTAACTCAAGAACCGGTTGACGTATAGTCGTGATTTTTGGTATGTAGGTAGTTGAAGTGATGCTTGACATAATCAGATGGCAATTATGCAAATCAGGAGCTAATTTGCATAATTAATAAGGAAATTCTATAAATCTGATTTGTTTGATAATAAAACTATGAAACAGTTGTGACATCTACTTGAGAACGAGAAAAACATCTGAGGATATAGATAATGTAAATGAGGACCTAATTTGCATAATTAATGGTAAATTCTTATAATTCCATAGTTGTAACTGGTGCACCCCGAATTTCATACTTGCCACATTTGGAAGTTAAGTGAAGGTGAACATTAATAAACATAATTCATTCAAATCATGACCTCATTTGCATAATTTATGAGGAGTGCTATAATAGCCTTTTTGTTATGATAAGACTGTCATTGGGTGGAGAATATGATCAACTGATATAATCCATGCAAATGAGGCTCTTATTTACAAAATCAATGATTAAAATTGTAGAATTCGTCACCCGCAAGGGTTAACATCTGTTGGCGAAGGTATGAGATCGTGGAACTCTTGTTTTATTAATAAATCACAACCAAACGAACTTTGGCTTGCACCGTATACTGTATCACAAATCCATTTGAAATACACTCACCGCTGTTAAGGTAGATTTTAGCGTTGAATGTGAAGTTTTAAAATTTTCAGCTTCCGCAACTTCCAGTGACCCCTGACACGCACATGTGGTAAGGGCGACAGAACATGCAGAATATAAAAATATACAAATAAATTCAAAATAAGGGCGACACTCAACTTAAATTTCCTACAATAAAATATAATGCAATTTGTTTGTTTGTTTGTTTGTTTCGCATAACCGGTAAACCGCCTTCAGGCGTAACACACCAGTTTTGTACATGTGCGCACATGTACAAGCTGCGTAAGACCGGACTGTAAGTTTTGAACCACTCACACCGGGAAGGTCCCCTACTCTTTTCGATAAGTGCGGTGGGTTCTTTAACGTGCCCGGGGTGTGGCTCTCCCCAAACACGGGACCTCCATTTAACGTCCTATCCGAGGGACGTCCCTAACCGAAGCTAGGTACTCATTTTCACCTGAGTGAAGTGAGGAAAGTCGTGTAAAGTGCCTTTCCCAAGGGCACAAGATCGGTGACATGGGCAGGGTTCGAACCCACAACCTCTGGGGTGTGAGCCGAACGCGCTACCGTCTGCGCCACACGACCCCATAACAAAGTTCTCTGCCAGTTTTTTCAACTTCTAAACTTCATTTGTATGGTTATAACCTGAAATGGCACACCATTCCCTGCCTTCTTACTTGCATGCACTGCTCACTGACGCCACAGTGCGAATTTTAAATGAAGTACAGTTGTGAGAGTCAGCCTGCTCCGGCTAACGATCCTGGGACTGAGTGACAGTTGTTTGCTCATTACCTTCGCCAAGAATTGACGAAGGTTATGTATTCCTGGCCGTGTGTCTGTGTGTCTGTCAACAGCATAACTCGAGAAAGCTTAGATGGATTATCTTGATATTTGGTAGGTGGGTAGGTCTTGATGAGAGCTCGAAATGATTAGATTTTGGGCCCCCTGGCGGCTTGTTATGATACTGAAGCTGAACTTCCGGATTTGATATCTCGTGATCTAGACATGCTGGGGTGACGAAATTTGCATAATTTGCATGATTTATCAGGAAATGTTAGAATGGCATTGTTTGCTAATGTAAGACTGTCTTTTGTCAGTCATAAAGATTAACATCATTTGGCGAAGGTATAAGATCGGGGAACTCTAGTATTGATTATCAATCAATAATCAAAGGACATAACGAAGAGATGCAAAAACGAGTCAAAACCACAAATTTTATATAGAATTATTATCAACATATAACGTTAGCCTGACATGCCTCCATATCAGGTACGGTCCAAAAAGTCCACTTCTGAGGTTACGGCCTGGCCCCATGGGAAATGGAGCCTTCTGATTGGTCAGCTTCATCTGGCTATATGATAACATGCTATAAATATAATGGTAACGTCTCGACCAGTGTGACCAAATCATACATGCGGAACTGAGTTCATATCAAGATCGACATGTAAATTGATTTTTATAATCAATATTTGACGGATATTTGTAATAAAGAACAGAAAGACGTCTTGCTTGCATCACCTTGGGTAAGTTACTTTTGTTGTTTTATTTATTTCATTTATTGTTTGATTCAGGCAGAGCCCATAGACAACATAGACAACACAATATACATAGATCTAAAAAATACAATGTCTAGGATAACAAAAAACTGAGAGAAGGCCTACCGACGCCAGAACTGACTTCTGGGGAAGGCATCAGGGCGTAAAAGCAGACTGATAATTGAATGAATGAAGACCTTTATTGCACATTTCTGCCACACTTGGCTAAGTACAGGTCACAACAAAACAATAACAATGAACACGGTCAACAAATACAAAATTAACTATCGTTATATAAATTCAACTTCTCCTCGCTTTTCTGTTATTGCAGCAATAAATGTACAGATTTGTTTTTCGATGGGTGGCTTGTCTAGTCGCATAAGAAATATGAATTTTTCTACACTACTTAAGTGCGTGAAATAGGGGAATAGGTGTTGTACAAACGTATACAGATAATGTCGTTACCCGACGCCAGGAGGCGGGCGGCAAAAGAGTGCGTCAGCTTTCGCCTTCTGGCGTCGAAGGTGTCGACACCCAACTAGTGGGCAAAGAGCAGGCTGTTACTAGTGGAGCGAGGCTGAGACATGATGATTTTGAAAGCATCGTGGTAAGCAACTCGCAGCCTCTGCAACACACCTTCGCTATGATTGTTACATAGTTGTACGCAGTACATGGGGGAACAATGCGCTACAAAGAGTATATGTAAAAAAAATTACGTAAGACTAGATAGACGTATGAGATGTGTTATATGAGAAGTGCACTAAACTGTATTCAAAGTCTACCGTTGCCCCTTTTTAAGTGCGATATTCAGTTGCGTATCTGAAACATAACAAGGAAGTTGAGTTCTGATTTGCTGCAACCACATCATAAACTACAGTTTAGCTCAGAGTGGTCTGTTTTTTGTTTTGTTTTTTTTAGTTCAGTGTTAAAAAATACCGTACATATGCATATTACGATGCCTAAGTGTGTGGGTCTCAGATTCGCAACCTGTTATCCACCTTAAACAAATCCACGCGAAGGCCACCGTGTCAACTGTGACCCTCACTCAGGTGTAGGGACTGACACGGTTATCCTACTCGGAGAGTCTGTACCTGTATATCTGTACATGAATCTGTATCTGTGCATGAATATGTATCTGTACATGAATCTGTATCTGATTGCAAATAAAGATATCGAGTGATTGCCATAGACATATACATATGCGGGGAAACTCCCAAAGTTGCGCAGGTATACGTAGCATACAAACCTCGATCCACGGGTACGTACTAAGAATAATACCGGAGGTTGCAATTGACCATTGAATCCGTCAAAGGCGCGCCGCAAGCAATTGCAAATATTAAGGGGAGATAGACTACGTTTGTTTTATTGACCTAGCATAAAAGAATCTCTTTCAAGTTCTCGTTACATGGCGCGAGAAAGTGGCTTTTATCAAAAGACGAAATGAAGAAATCGAAAGATAACATACATTAGTAGGAATATAAAGATTAACAGAGTATACATCAGAATACATATGATCATACTTGGCAAATGCTGCCTAGGTTAAGATGCATGCACTTGAAAACAGGTGCAAATTCACACCAACGCCATATTGATCGTTTTTAAACAAGGGGCACTACAGGCCCCCAAAACTGACAAGATTCTCTAGGACAAAATCTTCATATGATGAATGACATATGCAATCATTTTATATCATACGTGTATTATCATTTCGTATTTCTGGTGCTTGTGAACTGTTAAAACAACCTTCACGAGTTGTGCTGAGTTCCGAAAAACCAACTATAGACCATGCCTAGTCTTGACAACAACATCCTGTCCACTGACATGTCAGACACACTCCATGTTGTTGTCATGTACAACTCCCATATCCATAGCTTTATACCTCATTCCAAATGCAAGCCAAGCTATCCATACATGACTACTGGTATATGCTGTAACTCATATACTTTGTGATAATATTTAGTCGTTAAATTGTAGGATATACTAGCCATGTACTATTGATTTTGTGCCATACATTGTAACATATATAACAGTTACATGTACGATTGTCGAGCAAAAAATAAGTTTCATTCATGCTATCTAGAAAACCGCACATATCATCAAGATCCATATTTGTATTTTCATGTCTTTTCAGATGTTAATGATTCAACTGTAAGGAAATGACTGATAACTGAACTTTTTACACTATCTTACTGTCAGTGCGTGTTCGTTGGGCAAGATTGCCAATTGTTATGTGACTTTTGCCCTTTTAACAGCACAATTCTATGGCCAGATAAGTGGCTAACTTTCATAATTGTTTTAATTGTTGACACATTAAGGACGGTAGTTGATAGCAAAAGTGATAACGCACTACTCAAGACATATTTTCCCGCTACCACTTACATGTACACATAATGAGAAGATAAATCAACAAAAACGAATCCAATATAACAGAAATACAGAGGATAATACATATGTAACACAGCGTACTAATTATAAGAACAAAGATGTTGGAAGCACATGACTAATTTTATACCCAATGACAAACGCAATAAAACGGTAGGACACAATGTAAAATTGAGTTATTAGAAGCGTTTTTTTGTGGGTGATAAGAATTGTTGAGGAAACTACACTGAATGTTTAAATTGGCAACGGTTTTCTGCTACTGGCAATCAAATAGTTTCCTTAAAATTCATTTATATAATTTCGTAGGTCCTGATTTGTGTTCTTCATGTTACAAATACCTTCAAATATTTCAGCCAATTGTACTTCTAACTTTTACACAATCAAATGGTTCCTTGTTCACGTCTTTCAAGTGCTCGTTTCTCGACCAGATTCCCTCTTGTATGTTCTTACATGTGTGCAGCACGGAGGTCATTCTCATATCTTAGGTTCTGTAAACAAAAATACAAATGGTCTGTATAATAGCCAAACGATAACAAGAACTAATTGACTTGTACTGGTGCACCAGGATCACTGGTTCTAGTACTACCCGGGTTGACAGTTAACTGGTTCACAATAAAGTACAGTAAATCAGTCATAATTGCCCTGATACAGGTTGTTGAAACATCGTCACTTGTTTAACAAATGGTTGTGAATAACGAAGTTTAATTTGCTATTTAATCATTCACCAACCTGATGAAGAACAAAACAGAGGTGTCCATGTCTATAAGTCTGCATTATCAATTCAGATTCTTGTGGTACAGCCTATCTTTTTATGTTGTTTTATAAAATACCATTATTGTTAGAAAAGGTCAATCTTTGAACTAAATTGGTGTCTGAAATTAACAAGTAACTTACAGTTGTAGCTAAACCTAAAGGTGCTACAAACACAGTCATTTCAGTCGTGCTGGCCCACTCAAATTATCATGATATTGGATTAGATTTGTATCTCCATAAACACCAGGCATACTCATCTTACCTCGCGATAGGCACAGTAGTTTGCAGGGCAAGTTTCTTGTTCAGGACGCCGACTGTTGCCATCCTATAACAACAATTTTAAGTTTTCGTCAAGACCGGATATTTCACTACAACTTACGTGGTACAAAAGTATGTATCCGCACTAGAGCAACTTGGAA